TACTTGTATTTCTTCTTTTGAGTTTTTATACTAGGGAGACTATGCAATATTTACACATGTGGGTCTGGTTTATTTCACTTATGTCTTCAAGTGGCATTCACATAAACATAAATGCTTCAAGTTTATCATTCTTTATAGCTGAGTAATACTCCATTATATAAAAATACCACATCTTTTTCATCCCTTCCTCAGGTGACGGGCATCTTGGTTGTTTCCAGGATTTGGCTATCACTAATTGTGCTGCTATAAACATAGGCACACATGTATCCCTATGATATGATCACTATGTGTTCCAAGAGCAGGGCAGTCTTGCTGCCTCTCCAATTTGATCAAACTATCTCATCTTTCAATTTTTCTCATCTTTCACCACTAGGGGGAGGGCAATCAGTCCCTACTCACACACCCTAGCTAGATTCAGGCCGGACCCAGCCCTGACCAGTAATACTGCTTTCTCCAGAGTGATGTCAGACAGCAATAGAAAGGGTTGAGTCTACGTGTTTGTGGACATCAGGCTCCTAACCCCCGCAGCAGTTAATGCTCTTCAGTGTCCCATGCAGGGGGCCCAGCCACCCACAGTGTGGGGAGAAAGGTTGACGGCAGTTGCACATGTGTGGAGTTAGGTGTTTCGGTTGCACTCATGAGCTGTGACCTTTTGAAAGTGAGCCAGGTTGGCTGTGGTTTAACTGCCCTCGCTTTCCCTTCTAACACCCTCACCACCCCTAATGCAGCCCCAACCAGTAGGGGCCGGTTTGACTTTGAGCCTCTTCCAAGAATCAACCACATGCGACAGAGCACAGAAACAGAACAAGCCTGAGAAAGTGAAGGCCCAGAGGCCACACCAGTGCTACCTGTCACCCACTGTGTCCCCTCCTCCCAGGGCTCTGCTCTGTGCTGTTGAAGTTCAGGGCAGCCCAGGTGGATGGAGAAGGAAGGTGCTGAGAGGTCTGAGCCCCCAGGGGACCCTGCTCCAGGACCTGCTTGTGACATCAGGCCCACAAAACTCTGGGTGATGTGACTCTTTTCTGTCTGGTGCTGTGCATTTGCAGTGTAAAAATAGCTGCACTTTCTGCGTAGAGGGCAGGAATTGGTCGAAGGAGGTCTGTTTGATTGACCAGGAGAACCAAGAAATGGATCTCAATTACATTTGAAGGTTCTTCAGCCTGTTTGGTCTTATCTTGTTTCTAAATAGAAACCTCTCCTTGGTTTCTAAAAGAAGCTCTTTCTCAGAAACGGAATCAATTGTCAACATATTCACACACACACACACAACACACACACACACACACACAACTTCCTACTGCTATGTAAGACATTGTTTTAGTTTTAATATATAAAAGTTTCAACTTTTCTAGATTTCTTCAGGGATTAAGAAAAGCAGAAAAATATATATCAGTGTTTTCACTCACTGTATGTTAAACTTTTTATATCTTTGTGACCAAGGTTAAGGTCCATACAAGTTGTCACTTCCCCAAAACACAAGACAGTTTATACAAGTGGAAAGAAGCAAAGGTTGTTCAAACTCAGCTCTAAATCAGGCAAGAACTTTGCCTTAAATATGGGCTTGATCATGTTCTGGTTTGTGCGGGTTTTTATTACAGAGAACAAAAGGAGAATACATCAAGAAAAAGGGATCAGGAACTACCCTGACTGTTTAATCTATCAGCCTTTCTTGACATTCTTCTTCCCTTGTTGAAATAAACCCACAGGGCCCAGTCTCCCAATACTCCCCTCAGCTGGGTGTGGTGTTTTTTAAAATCTTTTATTCATTTTAATGGGGAAAAAAGATAAAGTAGCAATGAAACAGTTTCAAAACAGGTTAGTATGATAGTTACAATAAATAATACATTACATATTGTTGTCTTCATAGTAGTTATTCAGAGGACAAGATGTATATACAAGGTAGGATAGATATACAGCTACTTTCTCTTAGTTCAATGAGAAGGAAGGTTTGTACTGTTATTGTTTAGATAAGATTTCATGTCTACGTCTTGTCCTCTGGGTGTGGTGTTTGTCCCTTGTTTCAGCAGAGCTGCATTCAGCTGAAGGGAGAACAGGTCTGGTTTACACTGTACTGGGAGGGATTTGAAAAAGTACCCTAAGGCTACAAAATCCCTCATTTTCAAAGGTCTATTTTACTCTATTTCAGTTTTCCCTATGTGATTGCAAAGGCACAGGGAAAATAAGTGTCATGCTCATTAGTATTTTTACTCAATAAACAAAATGGTCAATGGACACAAATAAATGTTGTAAAGAATTAGGAACAGACATTACATGTATGGAAATGCATGTATCTGTTGTCATGCAAGAAAAGGAAATGAAACCAGCAAAGGGATCCTATTTTTCTCTTGTCAGGTTAGCATCCTCCTGGGGTGTGACAGCTCTCCATGATTCACACATGATGGGAAGAGAGCTCAGGGAGTGGGGAAGAGAGAATTGCTATCAAAGCCACCAATCCACGTATTCAAAGTGGCAGCTAATGCCATGTGTATTGCCTCACTGCTAGTGCAGCAAACTAAAGGAAATATATCAGGGATCCTTTGGTGGGAGCTAAGAAAGTGAAACATTTTTTATTTTCCAGTGAAATGAATGTTTCTATACGCTGACATTAACAGAGCTCTCAGATTTGTAAATGAAAAAAGAAGCTCAGGCGAAGCATATTGTGTACCATAACATGTAAGAAATGGAAATGGGAAGATATGTACACACACACACACACACACACAAATACACACATACATATATGTATGTATGCAGGTTCATTTTTGCAGAAATTAGAGCAGTTTGATTTTTACTCATGTGATTCTTTATTAATTTTTATTGGTTCTTTGGAATATTTGAGGGCAATTCAGCATGTGTTATAGCAAATGCACATCCTTGCATGTCCATTTCAGCACATGCATTTTGTTCCTGAGTGAGTTGACTCCTGAGATGCTGAGAGCCATGTCCGGGTAAGCAGTCCCCATGCCTGGGCAGTGTGCTCTGTCTGTGATGGCTTCCGGTGACTTCCCACAGGAGACAGCCACGCTGGAGGTCAGGCGCTATTTCAGTCACTTGTTGATCTCTGCACTGGAAGTGCATCCAAATTACTGGAAGGGTTTCCTTTGAAGCTCCTAGAGTTGGCCTGGGTTAGGCTGTGCCTCAGTGGCTCCCAGTAGAAGAAGAGCCAATGACTGAGCAGATTCAACAGTAAGTCTAAGTTAGAACTTGAATCATGTGAGTGCTGGGACTTTTTGTATTTAACATTGAATGTATTAAATTATGGCTGAGTGGCTATTTGTTGCTGGGTGCATCACCACTGAGGCCGACTCTGTGTTCTGCACTGAGCAAGCTTAACATTTGGGCTTCCTCTGGCATGGTGCTCCTGAGACCTGGTTGTCTCAGTGGCATGAACATCTGTCTGTGCTGTGCAGAGAGGACACTGCAAAGGACACAAACTGCCTTGTAGAAGTCCCAGTGCTACTAAGCAGTATCTTCTATTCAAACAAAACAAAGGCAAACAAACAAACAGCCTGACAACATGATGAAAAACAGGATTCCAGCCACGTAAACTTTTATAGCTCATGAAAATGTTGTGTTTCTAGACTTTTGGGTGAATCATATCTTTTTCCTCACATTCTATCTTATTATTCAGAATTGTCTGTAAGTAATTATATAGGGCTTTGATGAATATAATTGAGTAAATAAATTATTATGAATTATGCCCCACTTGGTAATCAAAAAACCTTTCAAAATTAAGTCTGCTTTGAAAAGAATCCTAAAGAATGAAGGGAAAATTATGAGAATCGTTACACAGAAGTTTTGAGTAATTATGATTTTCTTTAGTGCGTTTGTTTGTTTGTTTGTTTCCTCACAGCTGAGGACAAGGCGCCCTCTAGCTGTACAGTAACCATTGAGATGTGAATGTCTCCCTGTGGAATTGGGCAAACACATGCTGCCTTCTTCCACAGGACACTTAGGCGTGCTGCCTGCTGGGCTGGTATTCAGAGCATCTACCTCCTGCTGTGAGCATGAGTCCTGCTCAAAGTCTTCCCAACAAAAACACTGAACAGCAGGCTAGCCTAAAGTCTTGTAACTGAAGAAAAGTGCAGGTGCAGGAGAGGAAATACGGGCAGGTAAGGAGGTCAATCTCTCCACTAGCTCTCTCTCTATATATATTGTTAGAAGTTAGGCTAATTTTGACAATCTATCAACCAGACCATCATTGTATCTATCTAGAAGAATTCTCAGAGGACTGTGGATTGCAAAAGAGTCAAAGCTTGGTCCCTCTTTCTTCCTACCCATCCTCTCTTCACACAGGTCAGAATGTAGCTCAAGCTTGGAGCTTGAAGCATGTGTGACTGTGGATCCGTGATTTCTACAGTAGTGTCAAGTACACACCAAGGCTCTGGAGGATTAGCCTGTGTCAAGCATTTTCATCTGATCTGTTCCACATGCCCCCAGCAGACAGGGCATGCTAACTTTCTTTTACATAAGGAAATTATGGTAAAAAGAGGTCAAGTATGTGACAGGAAGCTACACTGATCATACATTTCAGACCCAAGAGTGAAACCCTGCTCTTTCATGGGTTCAACCCTCTGTCACACCACCTCCTTGGGGTTGCTGCCTCTAAGCGGAGACTTTGTGATGTTTGAGACACAGGATGCTGTGGACACTAGTGTGGAGCTGAGCACCTATGGCTCAAGTCATCCTTGAAGTTTCTCTAGTGCCATTGACCATTTCAGACCTTGAACCTAAACTTGGTGACCTTGAAAAAAACAGTGACAAGGGTCATCTTCAACAGGGTGTGGCATCTATTGGAGTCAGTGCCCCAACGAAGGAGTCATGACCTCCATCTCAGGGACAGACAGGCCATGTGGCATTGGAGCCTGGGTAGCCATGAGCTCTGAATATCATGGTTCAGTTATGCTATTTCTCACTTTGAATTTCAACTAAATTTCAACAAACTGAAATACAAATGACTGAAAGAAGACTTTTGGTGTGCTTTTTATTGTGTTTATTATGAATCTCAAAGCATAGTTCAACCATGAAGAGGACCATGTGAGGGTGGGTTGAATGGAGGTTTCCAGGGATGACCCTGACCAGAGCAGCGGGGTATGCACACAGAGGCTCTGAGGACCCAGGATGGCTCGAAGGATTGTGGGGCTGTGGAGGGATGGGGCTTAGGTCCTCCGTGGGCACACTTTCTTCCATCAGAGAGAAGTTGCAGAGTTTGCCCACTTTTTGGGGGAGCACTTGTTCTGCAATGACAGAATAATGCACATGTGGCCTTTCGAAGCCAGAGCCCATCAAGCTTGGTAGACCCACAGCAGATGCCACTGGGGACAGGAAACAAATGATGGGTTCATCATGGTCCCATGTGACTTCATCTGTCAGGTGCTCTTCCCATCACAGCAGACAGCAGACCTCCTGCACAGACAGAAGGTGACTAGGGCCCCATGAAGGGCGCCCTTGAGCAGGAGCAGGAGGTAGGTGTAGTAGGCAAAGGTGCTGGTGTTCTGTAGGCTCAGCAAATCTAAGAGAAGTCAGGTCATGAGTTTCAGCTCCACATGTGACAGCATGAGGTACATCATAGGGAAGTGTCATAGGTGTCAATTTCTAGTGCATGCACTGAAGTCATGCTACCTTTCATACACAAACCCAAAGGTCAGAGTCTACCACTCTCACCAGGACCACCAAGCACAAGATTCAGTTTGCAATTAAACTTAATTAATAACCTCTACTGAATTACCTAGAACTTTCTTTTTTTTAAAATTTTTTTATTTATTTATTTATTTATTTATTACATTTATTTATTGTGTGTGTGTGGCCAGCTCAGCCCACCAGGGGGCGGGCTGGCTGGCATGTGGTGCTGGAGGATCGAACCGAGGTCCCTGTGCTTTGCCAAGCTTGTTTCAAGTAGGTGCTTTAGACCACTGAGCCATCTCTCCAGCCCCCTAGAACTTTCTTAATATTAAATAGACCCATAGTCAGTAAATGAGCCCAATGAGGAAAACTGCGTGTGGTAACTTGGCTGGAGAATTTTTTTTCAATACTAACATATATCTAAGTAACTCGTAGAGATAATATTTATGAACCATTGAGCAAATGCCAAATAGCATTTTGAGAGTTTCAAATATAAATGTTAAGCAATGTTTATAACAATCTATAGTTCCACAAAAAAATTAAAAAAACAATCTATAAAAGAACAAGCAAGGGAGGGAGGGAGGGAGGGAAGGAGAGAGAGAGAGAGAGAGAGAGAGAGAGAGAGAGAGAGAGAGAGAAGGGAAGGAGGGAAGGGAAGGGAAGAGAAGAGAAGAGAAGAGAAGAGAAGAGAAAGAAGAGAAGAGGAAGAGAAGAGAAAGAAGAGAAAGAAGAGAAGAGAAGAGAAGAGAAGAGAAGAGAAGAGAAGAGAAGAGAAGAGAAAGAGAAGAGACTACTTTTCATTTACATTTTGCAGTCAAAGTGAGGGCACAGTAAGAAGTGATTTTTTCTGATATCATCCATTACTAAGTGCAAGCCCCAGATCTTGACCCCAAACTACATTACTAAAAATACCTATTCTTATCTGTTCTTAATCTTCAAATGTAACACAAGCATAAATATAACGATGAATTGCTAGCATGGAAGCATCTGAGTGATGGCATACTGCCTATGATACGAGATGTAGAGAAACAGGACAGAAATATGTGATGTCACATCATGATTAAAGACAATGACAGTGGGTCACAGTGGCTGCACGATTCATCCCAGGCCAGTTCTCTCCCTGGGGAAATTTCCGTTTTACATAGTTCATGTTCAGAGTTGGAATTGGTGAATCACCGACTCTTGAGTAGAAGGGAATCTTAGTGAATCCATTCCTAACTCTCTGCCCTTGGTTAAGAAAGTGTTACCTCCTGCCTAACTGCCTCACATAGCAGCTGATGCCCAGCACTGCAGGAACATTGCAAACAGACAGGAAACAGAGGAAAGCTCGGAAGGGCAGAGGCAGTGCTCAACTCACATGCCTGGTCCATGCAGGAAGGGCCAGAAACCAGTTCTGATTCAGAGCCTACTAAATGGGTCACTATGCTGGACTTTGGACATGTGGACCCTGATCTCTCCAGTAACTGAGTTCAGTGCAATTCCTTTGGCTGCCAGATGCGCAAGGTATTATTACTCACAAATGACTTCACTCTCCTGTGTTCCCACCACTGATAATTAAGAGACATGGCTGCACCCAATGTGTGGCTCAGAAGCCATGCACTACCATGCATCACATGTCCATCCTGTCCCGGGCCCTTGGCCATGGAGTTTCTTCTCTGGTCTCCATCATAGTGGAAGAAGAACACAGCACGAGTAGGGAAGGGTAAGGAAATGAAACTCCTGATCCGGCTGTGTAGAGTGTGAAAAGGACTCCATTAACTTTAGCTCATTTTCCCCCCCTATAAGGGATGACAATGACTGTGCAGGAGAGAGAAGCATCATTATGGTGAACCAGGAAAGCCAAGCAGCACACCTCCCGCAGCCTTCCGGACACACAGCGCTCTGGGCCAGTTCACCTTCCTAGTGACTTAAAAAAATGTTCATCCAGGTCTCACTCACTACTTTGCTTTCCTTATTTGTTAGAAGTGATACACATGAGAATGCATGAAGCCTCCCTGTTCTTACAGGCTGGGGGGTGTATGCCCCAAGGAAGTCACTAGTTTACCCTGTGAAAATAGAAGCGAAGCATTAATTTACACGAGACACTGTTTGGCAGGAGCTAGCCAGCCTCATTTCACTGGTTTAAGCCAAGGCAGCTCAAGGTGAGATTAGCAAGAAGGAAAAAAGTGGAAACGTGACTGGAAGGTAATGAGAGGGAAACTCACCATTTGCATCTTGCAAGGACATCCTCGGTTCAGTAGTATTGACAGCTACAAGGGGGGAGAGCAAACACGCGTCAGTTATTCTCACCTAGGGCTGGTCACTGTGTGAAGATGTGCGTGTGTATAAAATTTGTGATGGAGACACAGCAGAGACGTTCAGTTAATATGACTTAAAGCTAATCTGTGTTGATTGGCCACTCCTGGGCCAGGCACTGTGCTACCTGCTTCATTTGGCTATTCTTTTTTCCCTCCCCAGTAACACCTAAGTGAGTTGTACCCAGCTCCAGGTTATGAGTGAAGTACTAAGTTAAAAGAGCATAGTGAGAATCTTCTAGTATCTTAATTATTCTTAGTAAATGGCCTTTTGTTAAAAAATCTAGACACTGACCATTTTACCACAATTCTTTCTGATAAGAGAAAGAAAAGACTATTATTTTTCTGTTTTTTTCAATAAAATCTGAGGTGAGAATGAACCTTATCTACCGTGACTTGTAGGAAATAATGAATTAATTTAAAATGTCATTTATAGTGAATTCCAAAATCTGTAGTCAGGCTGACTTTTCAGCTAAAACCAGAAAAATGTAAATTAGATGATCAGGAGGAATTATAAAAATACACTACTGTAAGGTACAGGCAGACATACCTGGGAATTTCGTGCTTTCATCTTTCAGGTTGGCTTCTCTAGGATTAATACTGGACACAACTACAAGAAAGGAGACCAAGTAGTAGTCAGTTATTCATGCCTATTATGAAAAATACGTGAATGAGTGTATGTGCATAAATGAATATATACGGCCAGCTAGTTAGATAGAGTCGAGACATACAGATAAAGGAGTCTTTCATTTTTCTGATTAGAACAAAAATTTTGGCAGTGCTAGGGAG